GGAGAAGGTGTGTCACTGGGAGTGGACTTTGAGGTGTCAAAAGCCTATGCCAGATCCAGTCTCTGCCATTGCCTGCAGATCAGCTGCTGCTCCAGTGCCAGGCTTCCTGCCATGAGGACAATGGCCAAAGCCTCTGAAACTGTAAGCCAGCACCCAATTAGATGCTTTCTTTTATAACAGTTGCCATAGCCAGGTGGTGGTGGTGCACACCTTTAATTCCAGCATTCGGGAGGCAGAGGCAGGCAGATCTCTGTGAGTTCAAGGCCAGCCTAGTCTACAAAGCAAGTTCCAAGACAGTCAAGGCTGTTACACAGAGAAACCCTGTCTTGAAAAAAAAAAAAAAGTTGCCGTGGTCATGGTATCGCTTCATAGTAATAGAACAGTGACCAAGACACCTACTATGGTTCTATGTCAGGTGCACACAGTCACAATCACGTGAGAGTTTGTTGAAGGAGTCTGGCAGATTCTGATTCCTCTGCCTCTTGGTTGATGACCCACTCCCATCCCTCTACACTCTCAGAGCTGCTAGAGTTTCCTGTTTCTCAAAGACTGACTTGGGGGTAGATGTGCCCACAAACTGAGACAAACAACTCGAACATTTGCTTGCTTTCCTGTTTGGGCCGAAGGCTGTTTGATCTTCCCAAGCTCTGTGGGATAATATCAGGAGCAGGTGTCGCAGTGGAGGAAACAGGCTCAGAGAGGTTACTGACGTACTTCTGGGTCTCGGAGTTTCGATGCGAAACTTAAAGTCCTGTATCCTCTTTAGAGGTCGTTCAAAATGCAGTCCACATTTCACAACAGCCACACTAGCCTCCATTCTTGAACATTTCCCATGTGCCAGACTCTGCTTAGTTAACCTGTTAAAGGAGTTGTTTCATTTACCATTCACGAGCACCTGAGGGACGGGTACAGTAAGATCTTCCCATTTTACAAAGAAAGAGAACAGGGCTTAATGAGCTGTGGAAATCACTCACGTTCCTACAGTTATTAAGTCGGAGAATGGGGCCTTCAAGTCAACCCTGGTTATCTCCAAGTGCTCTCCAAGTTATCTCCAAGAGCCCCAGTGCTCTCAACCATTCTGTGGCAGGATTATGTATGGAGCCACTGGCCTCTGGGGGTGCAAGAGAACTGGGGGCTGTGGCTGGGTTTTACTTTTGGGCTCTGTAATATCCTTCTTTTTAGTTATTATCTGCAATTATGGTAAATAGGACTTGTTTAAATAAAAATGAAATCTTCTTCCCCATCAAGGCCTGATCTTCAAGGGAGGTTAGGTCTCGTGATGCGTCAGAAACAAACACAAAGACAGAAATACAGCGGGGAGAGCAGGCGTGCTTCTCCGGGTGGGTGGAGTAGCAATGTACCAACCAGAAACCAAGTTCTTAAAGTTCCAGCTATGACATACAGAGCTGCATCTGAGAATTTTGTGAGCACGAAAGGAGCCCATCCACACAAAAGCCCTGACACAGGGGCTGGCTCCAAAGAAGCAGTTAATGAATGTCGGGTGAAAGGTGGACGTTTTCTTTAGTGAGTACTTTTGGAGTCTAAGAGAGACCACAGCAACCTAGTTCCCTAGAGAAAGATCTAGGGTCCGGGACCAGCCAGCCTTCTGTGACCTTTCCTCTTCCTGGGCGTCCCATCCAGAAAATGAAGCAATGTGGAACATTATATAGTGACCAATCTAAATTACGTAACTGGTTATGAAACGTTTCTTTGCCTGCTAGTAACGTGAACGCATAAACCAAATATGAAGTGCTATGTCGTAAGCACACAGTGTTGTTTCTTTTTCTGTTTCAAATGAGACTCAGTTTTGTCTCCAGCTCCCACTTATACCCCCTTTTCTCTTCCTTACTAGAAAATTCCTGGCTGATTACATTTACTTATTGTATGTATGTTTGTGGGCACATGTATGTGTGTCATGGTGTATATGTGAAGGTCAGATGACAACTTATGGAAGTTAGTTCTCTTCTTCTACCATGTGGGCCCCAGGGATCGAACTCAAATCATTAGGCTTGGTAGCAAGCACCTTTACCTACTAAACCATCTCGTCATCTCCTTTATATTTTAGCTTTAATATACTGTAGACCAACAATGTACATTAAGAATGTTTTTTTTGTGTGTGGGAGGGGGGTGGGTGAAGAGATGACTCAGGGGTTAAGAACACTGGCTGATCTTCCAGAGGTCCTGAGTTCAATTCCCAGCAACCACATGAGATCCGGTACCATCTTCTGGCATGCAGGCATACATGCAGGCAGAACACTGTGTACATAATAAATAAATCTTTTTTTAAAGAAAAGCATATTTTGGGAATAATAATAGCATATGAATACAGAGGATTTTCTCTGGGAACAGGAAGTGAAGTGTGCCGTTGTGGCAGACAGCATAGGTTTGGTTTCATTACCTTGGGCAAGCTCCTTTACTGGCCTCTGCTTCATTTATAGAGTGAGACACATGGTCGTATTCGCCTAATAATTGTGATGGTTAAATGAGGCGATGCACTGGGTAATAGTTACTATGCTGTGTCTTCCCATCCAAGTTCCTCCACCGCTGGTGGCCATGAAGCAGTGTCTGATGATGGTTTTTCCGTGGAGACTACATAGCCTAAGTGAGGGGACACTTTTCTGTAAGCAAGCGCGGTTACCATCCGTGGAACCCTAATACATAGGCCGTGGCTTCGCAGACTGCAGTACAGTTCTCACCCAATAGCCCCAGTCTTCTCCCTGCTGGTGCTACTGACTGAACTGAGATATGAAGGAAGTCTGAGGGGAGCAGACAGAGAGCTACAAATTTTAATTAACGGCATAGTTTCAGGGTTCACCTTGAGCTGTTCATTCAACCCATTTTTTTTTTTTCTGAACTCGTGTTATTTTCCAGACTCAGTCCCGGGCTCTGAGGATACTTCCAGAGGCAAGACAGAGACATCATCGGTCTCTCAGATGGCGCTAATGGAGGGACACAGGCAAATGTAGACACAGCTCTGACACAGTAAACGGAATACTGGAAGGATAACTAGGGAGATGCAGAAGCATGAACAGTGACTCCATACCTAATCCAGCCAAGGAAGTCACAGCTAAGGAAACACCAACAGGGTAAGCAAAAGTCAAGCAGGTGACCTAGGAGAAAGTGTAGAAGAGGGACGGAACCGGAGAACCGAACCTTCCGAGCAAGAAGCTTGGCTTGTGCAAGGGTCAGACTGAAGACAGAACACGTCAAATTTGGGGAACTAAAAGGGGTTCCTTTTCTCTGAGTCAGAGCAAATTTGTTCACATGGGAAGAATCCTTCTAGATCATAGATCATGAGGTCCCTACTAGGCTGCTACAGAGTGAAGGCTCCATCCCAAGGGCAATGTGGCACCAAGGATGCACCCGAACTCTGAGAAGGAAATGCCCTCTGTTTTAACTCGTGTAATTCTCTACATGCAGAGGGATTTTGAAGTGTTGCAGAGCTAGTTAAATTTATAGATGGGGAAACGGGGTGGGGGGGCAAAACTTGCCCGAGATCACTCCAGTTGGTTGCAAAACTCAAACAAGAAGGCAAGTCTCTGGCTTTCTGATTCAGTACTGTAAAAGCCCATGCTGCTTCTCTTCTATGAGCAAGCAGAGCTCAACAGCCAGAGAAAATAAAATTACATAAAGTACAGCCACATGTAAGACAAGAGTCATTCTATATTATTGTTTCTAAACAAATTCTCCCTGAAAGGTACAAAGACAGAGAAAGAACAACACGGAGAAACACATCTCTGAGAAAATAAAACCACCCCAAATAATATGCCCTTTAGGATGAAAACCCAACAAATTACGAGTCTCACTCCTAAGCATCTATAGTCACTGCTGATCAAAATTCTAAGGATCCTGGTGAAAATGAATAATAATAAAAAAGAAACCTGAATTCTGTTTTTAAAGCCATCCTGCACAAACACCCCCACAGCTTTCTCACATGGCGTCAGAGAGGCAAAAAAAGTATGTGTCTCTATATATGTAAGTCATCACTTCTGAAATAGCAATTTAAATTAGATGAGTGGTGTAACATCAAACCACAAAGGATCATGAATTCTGAGCACTTGGGGAAGCATGTGAGATCAACAAAGTCTTCTCAAGTACTTTCCTGAGACTTGCATAAAGCGGTTTCTCCATCAATAGCCATTTATAGGGAGCAACTGAGTAAGTCCAAATTTGTGAACTCTAACAAGCATTGCAGAAGGTTCCTTTGACCCAAGACTTCATTTCTTATTTCTACAGACATACTCCAGTGTCACAAGTACTTCCCAATTAGTTCCCCTAAGAGGTACCCATGTCAACCACTGCTCCCTTCATTGCAGGTATAACTGCATCTCCCAAGCAGAGCAGCACCCTGCTGGCATGTCTAGAGGTCAGGACTGAATGCAACCTGCCTCATTCCTATCTAAAGGCCTCCAAGCTGCATCGCAAAGAGTTCAGATTCCTTGAAGAACCCTAGGCAGCATCTAAGGAAAAAAAGGGGGGGTGCCTGTTCCCTCAGATTCTTCCTAGTTTTGCCTCAAAGTCCTCATATCACGATTTTGTCCACAAGGCAATTCTTCCTGAAGGAGGTTGACGTGAGCCCCTACTTAAAAAATATATATGATAGCTGCAGGATTCTACTCTAAGAAATGGCAAAGTAGGAGCAGTGTCTCTTTATTTTTTAATTATTACATTTATTGATTGTGTGCACGTGTGTATATGGGTGTGTGTGTGGGGGGGTGGAAGTCACTGGACAACTTACAGGAGTTGTCTCTCTCCTTCCATCCTGTGGCTCTTGGGGATCGAACTAAGGTTAACAGGGTTAGCAGCAAGCGCCTTCACTCTCTGAGCCTCGGGTCCTAGGAGAAATAATTCTTGACCACAGGTGGAGCACTAAGGAGCAAGCTCAGTTAGTGGGAGGGCTCAACCCTAGCTCAGCCTGCTCCATTCTTTAGCTGGCTCTCCCCAGCTGTCATTGGGCCTCTGCTAGGTCAGTTAACGCTGGCAGAGTAAAATCTCCAAGCGGGCAAGGAGCTCTATTGTACACCGGTTCATATCTGGCTCTAGACAAGATGCTTGGAACAAAACAAGTAGTCGGTAAAGATATGGTGGAGAAATGACTACTTGAAAATAATTTGACACTGGGGAGTTGCGAATGGAGCCGAAGCTTCCTTCCTTCTGGGATGGCAGGTGTTGCTGGTGATGGAGGCAGCAGCAGAGAAGTCGTCCCTCCTTCTCCACCTCCAGAGTCGGGAAGCTGAACGCTCTGAAACAGGAAGGTATGAGTCCAGCGCGGCCCTGAGAGCAGGAGGTTGCAGGTTAGGGGTGCGCAGGGAGCCCCTCGCCGCAGCCATTTCCGGCTCTTTGTGTGACAGCAGCCGCGGCGAAGGGGCCGGGCACGGTGGCCAGGGGAGGAGCCGCCGCGGGCGGAGGGGCGGGGCCGCGGGCGGGGCGCGGCCGGTGGCCGGCGCAAGCGGCGGAGCCGGGCTGAGCATCCTGCGCCCCGGCGCGGGGCCCTGCGGTAGCCTCGGGCCCCTCCCCTGGACCTGCAACCGACCCAGGTAAGGGACCCTTGGAGATGTCGGGGCTGATGCCGGGACCGAAATGCTGCCTAGGCGGAGGATGCGCTCCTGAGGATGCGCGAGGGGCGGGCGCCTCTTCTCCCAGCCCGCTGGGGGCGCTTGGCTTGGCGCCCGAGGCTGCGCGGCCCCGGGTCCCTGGAGGCCCAGCTGCAGGCCCGGCGCTGTCCCTGATCCCTTCCAACGTACCGGGCGCCCTGGGCAGGGAGCGTCTCCCAGGAGGCGCCGGTACAGCGCGGAGCTCCCCGCGGCGGCCCCAGCAGCAGCAGGTGCGTGGCCTGGGCCGGAGCCGCCCACCCCAAGGGGAGACAGGGATAGTCTCGAGGACCAGGGGCACCTGTAGGGGTCACGAGCCAGGCGGGGGCCACATCCCTATGTCCAGGTACCGCAGATCTCTGGCAGGTCCGCGCCTCTGCGGTCGCGGCCACCATCACTCCGCCAAGGCCAGCGAGAGCCTCCTGGGCCCGCCTGCTAGGCAATGGGATACTGGGCACCCCAGGTGAACCGGAGCCGGGCGGAGCCGGGGCCGCAGCGGCGCGGTTTGAGAGAGGAGGACTCTGATGAGCCAGGAGGCATGGCTGACCTGCTTCGAAGGTTTCTGGCCTATGCTAGCACCTCTCTCCCCAGCTGGCTGTGGGGGAGGGAGGAGGGAGGGTGACAGAATCCTGGGGGACAAGGTTTCCTTCATATGTAGCTACCCACCTGACTGTTGTGGGAGATGGCTATGTCACCCCCAGGGAGGTAAACCCTCCTGTGTGCACAGGAAGGGAAGGAGTAGCCTGTGCTTCAGAGTGGGGGCAGGGAGCATAGTCCAAACGAATGATGGTTTTCTACCGCGACTAGCCAGATGCTTCCCAGCCCAGGGAACCTGACTTTGAACTTGGCTTGCCCAGTTTCTTAGTGCCCACAGTCCCACGGTTGGGCAGGAAGACTTGGGGGGCAGACTGCAGACAGGGTTCCAAGTCAAGAATCTCTTGGCTCCGAAACTACCATTTCTACCTCTTGCCCCCTCCCCTTAGGGCAAGAAGTGACCATCCTTACTCTTGGGCACAGGCCCTGCTAGAATCCATGCCTAGCACTCAATGCACCACCCCCTTGTTGGAGGACGAAAATATAGATTCATAGCTATAGTCAGGATTGTAAAGTCCTCGAAGGTAGTTGTGCCCCCCCCCACCATGCCCCCTCTGGGGCCTTCCCCCCAACTCCATGCAGTGATGTGTGTGTCCCTTCTCTCCTGTCAAACTTGCTTGAGAGAGGAGCCAGTGAGTGGTGTTTATCTTGAGGAGCTGAATACAAAAGGGTTTCCCATTGGATGCAGAGCAGGTACCTCAGAAGTCATGGGATCAGAAAGGACGCTGAGGATAGGAGACATTTTAATAGGATACAGAGCTGAAGTCAAAATATTTGGTATCGCTAATGGTTGACTTTGAGATGGAAGCTAGATGTGGGAGTGATAGTGTCACCAGAATGACAGTATCTAGCAGATGTCAGCTTCATTTTCAGTCAGGGTTGCTTTGGCCTGGTGGGCAGGAATGCTGAGAGAGAGAGAGAGAGAAAGAGAGAGAGAGAGAGAGAGAGAGAGAGAGAGAGAGAGAGAGAGAGAGAGAGAGAGAGAGAGAGCGCTTGTGAGCAATAGGTCAGGGGTTACTGTCACCAGAAGGCTTTTGTTGATCACCAGTCTCCACTCGTGGGGTGTGAAATTTTCCCATAGAGAGTTCCTCACTGACGCTAGCTGCCATCTGCCCCCGACAGTTACAAAGCCACAAACAGCATGCTACCGGCATACAAAGCCAGTGCCTCTGGGTACTTCTGCTTGCTGAGCCCCAGGCCAGTGGCATTAGCTCACTAAGCTTCTTTATTATATTTCCTGGCCAGATCTGACTGGTTGTATAGGAACCCAAGACTGCCTTGTTCACTCTGTGGTGGAAAATGGAAAGGATAAGCATGATTTAGGCATTAGGCCAAGGGTGGGGGTATACAGCTGTCTAGGTTTGGAGACTTTTGCTCAAATCAGATCACGTGGAGCAGCAATTTAACAGCGAGTAGAGGGCTCCGGTAACAGAACACGTACCCTCTGATTATTGTGCCCCTTCTGTGTTCGGTGGGCCTCTGAGGCTGTCATTGACCTGAAAGCTAAATTAGGTACTGAATAGGCAACAGGCTAATTAGCATTGGGAGCAGTGTTGCTGGAAAACAGTATAGGGCCCCTGTCCTCACATCTCAGCCTCAGCCTCCGTGCTCAAAGGGGCTTCTTTGGGCCACTGTTAGCCCCAGGGTTCCACCAAGAGCTTCACAAAATGGCCTTTTTGTAGCCTCCATGTGGCCACCATAACAATAAGTCTATTTCTTTACTGGCAAGTATTAATTATTCACTTAGAGTTGACGAAACCAGACGTCAGTCACCTCATTGGAGCCTTTGTGAAAGGCCTTGGGTCTTGTCAAGTTGAGAAGCAGAGCCATATCTAGGGTCCAGCGGATGGCCTTGCATTTTGTAGCTGGAGGTGGTTAGTGGAAAGGGGAGGCGGGCGGCAGTATGTGCCTTGCAGGCTGTGAATGGGAGGCCAGCTGTGGTGGGAGAGGGGCTGGTACATCTTTGGATGTTCTTATCAAACAAAGGATGCATGAAAGCACTGAACAAAATGTGTGGTACACAAGCACTCTCCTATTTATATCTTTATCATTGTGATACATTATTTACAAGATCACTGAGAATCTGGTTCATGTGCACAGTGAACTCCCAGCCCCCTCTAAGTCTCCACCTCTGAGGCTTACCTGAATCTGGCCTTTTCCAAGAGGAGTTGGTCTGCCAGATCAATTGCGGTGTGTGCCAACGACGTTGAAAAGGCATGTGATCAGACAAGGTGTTGGCCAGGGCTTCACCTGGCAGCCGCTGAAAGTGAATGTGGTAGAACTTGAGTAGACAGGAGGAAGGGGGTGGGAGTGAGTGAGCAGAGGTAATTCTCACATTTCAGCACACAGAGTCCGAGAAGAACGTCTTCCTCTGTGTGTATTCAGCATTCTGCAGCCAAACCAAAGTGTCAAGGGCAAGCTTGGCTTTACTGCTGGGACAGACAGAGCAGCGCAGTGGACTTGGGACGGGGGATTTCTCCTTGGCTTCCTGTGTACCTTTAACATGGCCACTGCCTTTTCTGACTTCAACAGTTGAGCAATGGAAAGCAGTCTGCTCACCCTGTTACCTGTCTGTCACCACCAAAGCCCCAGGATGAGATAATGTCTCTGAACCCCCAGCTGGAGAAGAAGTCATGGAAAGAGGAAGGGAAAGAGGCTCCGGAGCATGGCTCTTTTGGATGGGTGCCTCCGTTCCTAAAGGGACTATTTATTAAGTGTATTTTGAGTGTCTATTTTAAGAGTTGAGTCTGTGGCTTCTCCGTACCATGGAGCCAAAAGGCTCTGGTTGAAAGGCACTTTGTGGTCCACAGCTTCTATAATGCCCTTATCTGTATAGGGACACTTCAGGATTCACCCAGTGTGGGGGGATGGCCCCCAGGATGCAAAAATTTGGACAGTAGCTTTGTAGCTATGGCCATTGTACTAAAGACTCTGTGTGTGTGTGTGTTTGTGTGTGTGTGTGTGTGTGTGTGTGTGTGTGTGTGTGTGTGTGTGTCTCAAAAGACATTCACTTATGCCATGCTTCTTGGGCCCTGGTGACGGAGATGTGAACTGAGTGCACTCTTGAGAAAAATGGTGGGAGAGGACAGAGCAGAATTGCAGGGCTCATTCTGCCCGGGTGGCATTTTGAAAGCCTTGTGTCATCTCAGAAGAAGTGTGATGGCAGGATAAAGCAAATAGAACCTGCCAGAGGAAGAGACCCAGTGATGACCTCATTCATGGGGCCTTCTGATTGGGTGCTGGCCTCAGTGGCCAGTCTTCTCAGAGGAGAGGTTCTCGGATGTCAGTCTCTAGGTGGGATGGAGGGAGTTTTGTATAGTTTTTCAAGTGTGTTTACTTTTCTTGTTGCTGCCACAAAATACCTGACAAAAGGCACTTAAGGAAGAAAGGACTTCTTTTGGCTCACAGTTTAAAGGGGCACGGTCCATCATGGCCACAGGAGCGTGAAGCAGCTGATCACCTTGCATCCCCAGTCAGGAAGTAGAGAGAGATGAATGCTGGTGCTCAGCTTATTTTTTTCCTATTAATTATTATGATTGTTGCTATTCTTCCTTTTTTAGTGATTCTGTGATGGCAGCCCATGGGATGGTGCCACTCTCTCAACACTGAGGGTCGACTTTCCAGTTTGAATCTTCTCACGTTGACAGTGACGATGAACTCTGACAGGATGTGAGGCTTTCCCCAGACAGTAAAGGTGGTGGGACAATTAGGAGACTTTGGGAGACTCCCTTAGTTTGGACCAGTTTCTTCTGAGAGAATTAACAAGCAGGGGCTGACCGAGAGAATTGCCCAGCTTTCCCCGAATGCCCCTGAGATCAAGGAACATGCAGGGCAGACCCTCATCACTGAGAGTCATTATCTCAGTACTGAGGGATACTGAGAACTTTTTTCAGTTTGTGCTTTTAAAATGCAATGCTTTAGGATTGGTTTCAACAAAGGGTGAATAGTGAAGTAAGAATTGAAATCTAAAACTCTCCCCTCAACCTCCAATGCTGTCACAGCTCCACGTGGGGAAAGAGATATGGTGACATTTCTTAGACTGGGCAATAGGGACATAGGATGGAAGGATT